CACATGACATATTTATTTCATTCATAGCTTAAGTTAAACTGAAAACTATAATGATACTAAACTAAACCACATTATCCTATCCTCTACCTAACATTACTGCTTACTCACTCTAGTCAACAGGTTAGGTAGTCACTAGTCAGTAATACCTGCATCTATCTTACCACCTGAGCATTCCTGCAGCATAACTTGAGAATGAAAAGAATTACACTGTTCAAACTTGGTATAGAAAATTTATTTCGCATAATAACCCCTACTGCCATTATGTTCTTGGGGTCAAAAGGTGTGAGGTCATGATCAGGACTTTAACCTCTAGGCTTCGGACCACGTCCTGTGACATGTTTGAAGAGCTTTGGGTCATGTCACATGACCTTTTGATCTTTCCAGGGTCTATTGAATAAACAGGGTGGTCCTGGCTAAATTATGCAGCTAAATAGGTATTTATCTTTCACCCACACATGAGAGCCTCCCTGTCTCTTCTCAGTAGCCTCTCGGCTTTTGTGATGTACGCATCTCGCCCTTGAACTTGACTCACTTCACCATGTGTTTCTACTCCCCAACCCCCAAGCACATGTCTAGTATTGTGATCAGTTATTGGAGCATTAATAATCATTGTTAATAGTGTAAATAATAATAACATCGTAAAACAAGTGTCCTGTACCTCATACTGCCTACAAATTAGTGTTGTTTACCTCGTTACTCACACGCCATTTTACGAACATTCTCGATTCTCTCTAGCCCTGGTGTTGCTAATCTGTGGTAAGGACAGTTATTTATTTGTGATTTATATCATTCATGGCCAGATTTTAAGACTAGAAATGCTTTTTATTTGTTTTTTTAAATGTCACTGAATATACCCACATTGGAAGTACTACCATAGCTCGAAGCCCAGGGGTTAAAATGGATACCATTTAAGTTGACATCTTACTCTAGTACAACCTTGTCTTATTAAAGTACAGTAAAATAAAATGTAATGTTCAATCACCAAATTCATAGCATACCTGTCTCTTACTGCATCCAGCTGGCAGAGCCCCCAGTCTCGATCATCTCTCATGGTATCACCCTCATGATAGATTTCTGGGTGGTGGTGTGCAGCTATCAATCCTATGGTTATAAATGAAGTACTGCACGCCATGTGTAACACCAACCACAACCTGTATTAGCACATGATGCACTTGAGAATGATGCTGCTTTAATAGCTTGGATAAACATGAAACTACTGAAAATACATATCCAATACATATCCAGAAATGACTTCACTTTTTATGTAAGAATAAAATCATCTCTCTTCATATTTAGTATTAGAATCAAATTCATGATGAACTGTAGTCATTCCAAGGGATAAGCAAATATAGTACTGTATAGAGGACTGAGAACTGGTCCTGGTAATCCTATTTCATAACCAAGGCAGACAGAAAATTCATGTAAGATAAAACACCATGTCCAGCTCCTATAAGGAGTTACAATAACTCAATTCAAAAGCAAGATTTATAAAATGGTGCCTAATAACAATGCCCTGGGAAAACTGTAGAAAATTTAGCATACTTACTAAAACATGACATCTTCTGGTTGTCTGGTGGCACTAGACTAACAATGGGAGAGCATGAACAAGCAGCACCTTATATTATTTATGCAAGACGGTTCACAGAACAATGTATACTGTACAGTGAAGTTGCGATTATTTGTGAAATGCAAATTCGTGTTCTTAAATTTGGACGTACAGTACCTGTATACCTCTATTATTACTGTACCTCTTTTTAAAAATTTTGCGGTCAAATATTCATAATACATGGCTAGGCGCCATCTGCCGCAGTGTTTATTTACATAAGAAACTATAGAAGTTGTGGAAATAGAATTTCATTGCTCTAATTTGACTTGAAAATAAAGAAAATTTAATAAAAATATCACTTCAATGCTCTAATGTGACTTTAGAAAAAAAATATTATGAAACTATAAAATAAGAAAAATTAAAAGTGGGAAGAGAATTGAGCATGGGAGATAGGGAGGTGACACTGACCTCCTGAAGACAATATTATGCAATTTCACCATAATTCCCATATTATTTAGGTTTAATACAGTAATATCTCCATTAGCCAGAATCCCTCAAATCCGGAACTCTCCGATAGCCGGAATTTAAATTTTCTCGGAAAATCGTTCCCAAAGCCAAAATTTTCCAGAAAATTTTGGGTTTGGGAATGATTTTCTGAGAGGCACATTTTCCAGAAAATTCCAAGAAAATTTTCCCAATACCCAGAAAATTCCGGGGATGGGGGATCCCGGGTTTGAGACGAAAATCAGGCGCATTTTCCGGAAATTTCAAGAAAAATTGACAGTTACACACGCCTGTCTAGGAACTTTCCGCTACCTGTACTGTGTAAGTTTAAACTAAATTCACTTAAATTATAATAATGTAGATTTGTTTTTATTTATTAAAAATAAAAATTAATTAATTTTGAAAAAATATTTGTTTACCAAGAAAATCTTTTTAATTATCATTTTGCAGGATAAGTAGTGCTTACCTATAATACATGCCACTAATCTACATGCATATTATTTGTTTATCTATCATCATAACTCTACTCCTATTCTTGAATGAAGTACCGGTAAGTCAAACAGTACAGAAACCTTATAAAAAAATAGAAAGTAATTAAGAGTGGTGCATAACAAGTGAGAGAAAGCATCAGGAAATGGTTAAGAGAATACTGTACACAAAAATATTTTCACATACACTGTACAGTATTTGCTCATATCCTCAACCTGCACACAGTGTACACAGCAATTCTTAGCATCCACAGTGATTCATTTTAGGTGATTATGTGACAGTAGTACAATGTGTATAGAAAAAATTACCTGAAAGCCATTCCATATGATGGTGCAAGTAATGCCATGACCACAAATTCAAGGACAGGCAGTACATTTTCCAGACGCCACTTGACTGTTCCACAGTATTGTAGGTATAATCTCTTCCCAAATTCTAAAAACGCAGTCAATGGTAAAATGAGGTATTCATATACACATGAACCATATCTTTGTAGAAAAGACTTCTTTGGTTTTGGCAAGAATTCCCAAAATGGCTCAAGAACAGACACTTCAAAATCATAAATGGTATTTGTATACAGATGATGTGACAATCCGTGACTAATTCGCCATTTATATGAAGAAAAAAGCGTCAGGTCAAAGTAGTACATCCTCCAGTTGTTACGCTGATGGAAGAAGTTGTGGGCACAGTTCCCCGTCAAAGTCAAAACAATGCCTGAAACAGGGAGGAGGAATGAATTACAGTGTACTTTAAAGAGTTTTTCACTCACTGAAGTCTTTTTCCATCTTTATGCAAGGAAGCCAGAATTAAAAGCAAACAAAACCACTCTCTTTTTTTTCCTATTATTCATTCACTAACTGGTATTACAGATGTGCTTTGCTATAGTGTTCCACTTCTACAATGAGACCTGGAGTTATATGGTTTATCCCTGCGTCTTCGCCTAACTTAGAATCACTAATAAACACCAAGTCAATCCCTAATACCCAGTGATTCCTGCATGTCCATCTCTCACTTGTAGTGTGTTCTTCACCCTATCTTTTCACCTCCTGCTTGGTCTTCCCCTCTTCATTTTTTTTTTTTTTACTCTGTTACATGCACACACAATCTTCATACAGAATGTACAATAACAAAATTAAATGATTATCATAAGGTCAAAACAAAGATAATTAACACTTCTTACAACCGCTGGCTGGAGTCGCCTTGATTGTGAGGAGAGCGACGGTGTTCTCAGCCACTCCAGTCTCCCGTGTGCAGTGAAACTACAGTACAGTATTGCCAACTGGCAATGCAGTATTTTTTATTTAATTTTTTTTTAGTATGATTTTTAGTTATTTCTCGCATTAGTGGTACTAAAGAATACACACAACCCTGGCCCATAGCAGCCTTGGATAATGAGGAGTATACTGTACATCGAAAAATATGATAAAAGTTGCCGGCTGGGATTGCATCCCCCACCCACCTATTTACATTAATTCATATGGGGAAAATTGCCCTGAGATTCCCAGTTTCATTAATCACAATGACTTTTAGGAACACATCCCTTGTGATAACCTGGGTATTCCTGTATTGCATATTGTATGATGATTTTATAGGTTACAAATTAAGTAAGATTATTACATATTGTATGATTTGACTTGATAAATATCTCTATGTCGTGTTCTTTGATAATGTTGCCTCTAGTACATTTAGTATTAAACAAAACACGTTGAACCAATTGGAAAAATGTATAATTCAACTCAATAAAACTATCTACCTAAACCAAAAAATCATTACGTTCTCAGAATTAAAAGTATTGTATGTACAGGGTACTGTACAGTAACTGCAAGATTTGACCTTGAGTTTGTGAGTTTGACCATCTTACATTTTGTGCACTGTTGTCACCTGCTACACGGAGAGCAATTTAGCTGTTCAGTCTACAACCACACACATTTCAATGTACAGTAATAGATTGCTTTATATAGATTGGCTTGACAAATTAAAATTAATCACGCACATAATATTTTTCTCATCAATTTCATTTAAATTTTTAATCACACAATTTTATTGAGTTAGTTGGTAAGTACCTGTAATTATAAATAAGATAAAAAATGTGGCAACACAGCTCATATAATGATGGCAGTAGCCAGCATGACGTTAACACCACCACTCCACACCCAACAGAGATATTAAATGAGTTATATACCTAAAAGGTATTATAGTTAGCCACTAAACAAGCAGGAATAGAATGATAGTATTGGTGATACACAACCCTCGCATATAGATGTGTTAGAAGCTCGTAATATCAGTTTTTTCTCGGGGGGACCAAGTCTGCTTAGGATCAGTGAACCACCCCTCAAGCACAGTAAAATGATCTTAACTGTATATACAAATGATGCTTGAAATTAGAACAATTGTTAAGCAAAATAATAAAGGAGTGTGGTATGGTTTATGAATGCTGAGAAAGGAGGTACAATGAGATGATGTGAGTTTGCGTCTGTCATTAAGCTAATGTACGGTAGGTGCGTTATTTTGTTGTGATAATTATGCTTGCTTCTCAGTATTTTATGATTCCCTGAAATAGCAGAGCTTGTATAGTGATAAAGGATAAACAAGCCTAAAAACAAAAACCTATCCCAACAATTTTTGGCAGTACCCTGTACTTGGCACATTGGATGCAGGGTAATTTTTGGTCACACTCTAAAAAAAATATACTGTATATTAAAATAATTGTGTCCTGTATGCAAGCAAATATGGTACCTAAAATTATGAGTTGAAGAAAACCATAACACCTCACTGCTCTGCCTCACTGTGGTTACAGTGATGAGACTTACTTGGCAATAATGCCGCCAGCAATATTAACAATTGCAAATGTGAAAATAAAATTATCTGTAAGTTTTCATTTGTATCAGGTATTTGCAGATTTAAAGATAAATGTTGCAGGTACAGTATAAAATTAATATATGTAATACTTCTAAGACTTCAGAAATGGTTACCGTACTGCTTACCTCTGAAGAGTTGGGTGCCTGCCATACCAATGCTAATCATCTCGTGTTATCATCATCAGTAGGTATAAATCCAGTTTTTATATTTACAATAATTCTGGTAAACTGATGACAAGCAGCCCATTTAAGTGCTATACAGTGGTCCCTCGGTTAACGAGCACAATCCGTTCCAGCAGGTTGCTCGTTAACCGAAAATCTCGTTAACCGAAACCATTGTTTCAATGGGTTTTTGGGCAATTGGTTCCAGCTCACCGAAAATTGCCTAAATTCAACAAAAATGGTAGAAAAGTTCATTAACTTTGAGGTGTGTATGTAGAAGGCTCCTGGAT